TGAGATAATACTTAGAAGGGGGGTTGAATAAGTATGAAAGATTAAAACTTAGAATTAAAACACAAGTATTTTTATCCTGGTTCGTTGAACTCAACTACTCCAGTCCACCCTTCCTAGAGTGATTTGCCTTTCTCAAACAAGGACTTAATCCACTATTTAATCAAACAGATTACAATAGTAACACCTAAGAACAACTGTTCTTAGTCTTCTCAAGAGCTACTGATTCCAACTGAATCCTCTTAAGGAAATCCTTTACAATCAATGTAAATCTAATACAAGAGTAAGAATGCTTCTAAAAAGCTTTAATCACAACAGTGATATTTCTCTTAAGTTTAAGTACAATGAAATTAATTCTAAGAATGAATATGAAAGTATGAGAGCTTGAATGTTTTAATTTCTTTTCAGCAAAACGTCTGACTAAAGAATTTGGTGGAGTCTTGCTTTTATAGGCAGCTGATCCAAGGTGAGCTGCACGTTGAGAAGAGTGTCCCAAAAGGTCTGAGCCTTTTTGTCTTCACATCAAGTGACCTTTCCTAGAAGAAGAAAGCACAGAAAAATCCTTTTTGTCTGTGTTCTTGTGTCTAGCATAAATGAGGAAAGAGACGTTTGATTTACTCCAACAGATATAATCTTTGAATATTTCTTCTTTAGTTTTCAGCAAGTTCATCAGAGTCTAATTGGGTCAGAGTCTTCTAATGATGATCAGAGCTTGCTGGATCAGAGTCTTCTGCAACAGGTGTGCTTTCAGCGTGTTAAATATCAGAGCATATTTGGAACAGAACTTCAGTACTGGCAGCTTTAGTACTTTCAGAAACTTCTGTAGAATCTATGCTTTGAAAAAACTCTTCATACAAAATTCTTCTTTGCTTCAGATGCTTCTGACTTGCTTCAGATTCTTCTGGAGCTACTTCTTCAGATCCTTCTGGAGCTTCTGCTTCAGATTCTTCTGGAGCTTCTGCTTCAGATTCTTCTGGAGCTTCTGCTTCAGAATCTTCTGGAGGCTACGCTCAGAATCTTCTGTTGGCAGCAATCAGAATCTTCTAATGAGTGCATCTGGCGCTTCAGAGTCTAGTTAATTTCTTGCATTCAATTCTGATTTGCTTCATGGGTATTAATTTCTTTACTATCTGCAGTAAAAACTCTCAAGCAAATTTTAGAGTATATAATTCTTAAATACAAAATTTCCTAATAGTTATCATCAAAACATAGAGATATTATTAAGAACCAATCTGTGTTCTAACAACTCTTAGTTATAGCCTTGATGATCTTGTGGAAAGGGACTATGAGGAAACTTATGCTCCTGTTGCTTGCCTTGAGGCTATACGCCTATTGATTGCCTATGCTTGTTCCAAGAACTTCAAATTACTCCAAATGAATGTTAAAAGTGCTTTTCTAAATAGATACATTAATGAAGAGGTCTATGTATCTCAACCTCCCAGTTTTGAAATTCATGAGTATCTTAACTATGTTTACAAGCTCAAGCATGCTTTGTACGGTCTTAAACATGCCCATAGGGCTTGATACGAGCATCTTTAAAAGCTTTTATTAGATCAGGATTCTCAAGAGGGAAGGTTGATACTACCCTCTTTATTAAACGTCAAGGAAAATACTTCATATCAGTACGGGTTTATGTAGATGACATTACATTTGGATCTAATAACATGCATTTAGCCAATGAATTTTCTAAGTTGATGTAGGGTGAGTTTGAGATGAGCATGATGAGGGAGCTAAACTACTTCCTCGGACTTCAAATCAAACAACTTGAAGAAGGAACATTCGTAAGCCAAACAAAGTATTGCAATGAGCTACTCAAGCGCTTTGATATGGCTAACTCTAAAGGAATTGGCACTTCAATGCCTACAGGTGTAAACTTAGACCGAGATGAGAATGGTAAGGTCGTCGATGTAAAGATGCATAGAGGTATGATAGGTTCACTTCTCTATCTCACTGCATCTCGACCAGATATCATGTTTAGTATATGTATGTGTGCTGGGTATCAATCATGTCCCAAGGAATCACATTTAAAGATCGTCAACGCATACTTAGATATTTATGTGGTACTCCCAAGTATGGGCTTTGGTTTTCCAAGGGAAGTTATTGTACTTTGATTAGCTATTCCGATTCCGAATTTTCCGGTTTCAAATCGAATAGGAAGAGCACTAGTGACATTTGTCATTTCTTCTCAAATTCCTTAGTGAGTTGGCATAGCAAAAAGCAAGTTTTTGTTGCTTTTCCAACAGCTGAGACGGAGTACGTTGCAGCTGTAGTTTTTGTGCCCAAATCTTATGGCTCAAGCAACAATTACTTGACTTCAATGTTAAACTTGAACGTATTCTCATTTTGTGTGACAATACAAACACCATTAACTTAACTAAAAATCCTGTAGTATATTCACGCACGAAACATATTAAAATCCTCCATCATTTCCTTAGGGATGAAATATGATGTCGTATTTGAGCATGTTGATAGCAAGAATGAACTTGCCGACATTTTTACAAAACCACTTGCGACAGAACCCTTCTTCAACATCCGTAGGGAACTTGGTGTTCTCGATATCTCGGGTCGCGTTTAAATTGAATAGTTATATGCTCTATATCTTTGCTTGTCTATACTTTGATTAACTACGTTGAAAAGCGCAAACTATGTGAGAACATTCGTCGTTTATCTTCATTTGAGGTAATATCGTTCCTATCTATATGAGGAAGATGATTGAGGCAAAATCTTCGTAAGATTTCCGAGAATCAAAAGAGAGGCTTAAATGCATCTCCATCTGGTGGCTTGACTATTGACAACGTGGAGGCGACAAATTAATGTTCAAATATCTTATTTTTTTAAAAAAATTAATTTTAAAACTCAATCAAATTATAAAGGAAGAAGATTTCTATAAACCTTATTAGATGGTGACGAAGATGAGTGAAAAAAATTGTGAAAAAAATCTTTTATTTTGATTTGGAACTATTAATATTTAGAGTTTTTAAATTGCAACCTAAGAGCAACTTTAGCGCATGGTTGTTAAACCAAAATTTTGTATAACTTACGTTAGTAATAAATAATTTGCATTATAGTAGAGTTGACATGACATTTAGTGAACTAAAGTTTAGTTTCCATTATTTATATAGTTAACGTTAACTATCCAATATGAAACATATTATAAATATTATTTAATATTAATAAAATATTCCAAAAGCATTAAATTAATGGTAACTTGAATAAAAAATATAAAATGTGGGGTCAAGTTTTGATTTCTTATAAACAACTATAAGTAAAAACTACTCAAATCAACTATAAATTTTTTAAATCTTGCAAAACACTTTGGACCCACAAAAAATATCTTAGTTTACCCATTTAGTTTACTCCCATTAAAAATGCTCTAATTAGATGATTGCTGGAAGACTTTTTACTTAATTTTTAATAACTTTTAAGGTAATGCAAAGAAAGAAAAAATATCTTGAAAATTATGCATTGATTTTAATAAAAGTAAAAAATTAGATGTTTAATTGTTATTTCCAATACAAAATTGCTATAAATAGAAATTAGCATTATCCTAACTATTAATGTTTAAGATTTTATTTTAATGTATTTTTGTTTTTGTTTTTTATTTTAAAGTTTAAAACTTTTAATCTAGTATTTTTTTGTATAATGTTTGAGATTTTATTTTTTATTTTAAGAATTTTTGTAAAAGTTTGAGATTTTCTTTTAAAAGATGTTGATTTATAAATACCAACAACAACTTTTAATTCAAATAATACATATCAATTGTTCTAATCAATTATATTTTAATGTTAAAAATTTTATTTTAAAAGTTTTTAATATTAAAAAATTATTAATTAATATCATAATGACTTGAAAAATATCTAAAATCGATTCACCAATTCCACATGTATGACTACAACCAAACAAATTCTAAACTATTATAAATTTTAAAATTTGGAGATTAAAGTAAATGGACTGAAAATATATTTTAACATTATAATAAAAAACAAATGTACACACTCAGATTGTAATTGACTCAGTATTAAAATATATTTTATATACAATTTTAATTTTTAAAACATTTCAAATATTCTCTTTAGTTTAAAAATTTAATTTTTTAAATTTATTAAATAATTAAAATATCTGATACACTGATACATTGATTTTTTAATAAATTTAAAAAATAAACTTTTTTTTTATAAATAAAATTGAATTTACGTACGAAAGCAAATCTTTTGTCTAAAAAAAGTTTTGTATTTTATTTAAAAAAAGAAAAAGGATAAGCAAGATAGCTGTAGCTTGTTGCAGTGTGGAATCCACCTTTACTTACACTTAAATTCACTCACCAACCTCTTTCCTAATCCACCAACGGTTCAGATTAATCAAATCCAAATCATAACCATCCACTTAGCAGAAGAGTCGCACATGCAAATGGATGAACCTAACCCAGAAATCAAACCTTGTTCACGCGTCACTCTTTTCAAACCTGCCAACCTTTTCACAGTCTTGTGAGATTTTTTCCTATAAATTGGAGCCTCACTCCTCACATTACAACTCGTACAGCTTCGCACCGCAACAATAACAAGTTCAAGCGAAGCAACAATTTCTCTCTAATCTTCTTCTACTACCTCTCAAGGTACTTTCGCTTTTTCTTCGTTTTGATTTTCATCAAGTAGATGTATATGTAGATGTCATTTCGCTATTTGAGGTAGGTATTTTGAAAGTAGGTTAAAATTTGTTTCACCGACGGTTTTTGTTTTTCATTTTGTTCGGTTAACTTAATTTGAAATTAATCGGTCCGTTACAATTTCAGATCTAGTAGAATTTGCATGCTAATATGCTTTAATCTGAAAGAAATTGATGGTTGTGTGTTAAATTTTTGATTGTTTTTGTTTGTTAACTGAATATTAAGGGTCGTGAGATTTAGGGTTTTAGCAGATTTTTGGGTTATGTTTATGCTTGATTTATGAGTGAATTTGTTTTGGTATGTTAATTTTTGAGTGGGTTTGTTTTTGCAGCTAGTAAAGATGGCAACAGAGACTTTCCTATACACATCTGAGTCAGTGAACGAGGGACACCCTGACAAGCTTTGCGATCAGATCTCTGATGCTATTCTAGATGCTTGTCTTGAACAGGATTCAGACAGCAAGGTTGCATGTGAAACTTGCACCAAGACTAACTTGGTTATGGTTTTTGGAGAGATCACAACCAAGGCTAATGTTGATTACGAGAAGATTGTTCGTAACACCTGCAGGAATATTGGGTTTGTTTCTGCAGATGTGGGTCTTGATGCTGACAACTGCAAGGTTCTTGTGAATATTGAGCAGCAGAGTCCTGATATTGCTCAGGGTGTGCACGGTCATTTCACCAAGAAGCCTGAGGAGATTGGTGCTGGTGACCAGGGTCATATGTTTGGCTATGCCACTGATGAGACTCCTGAGTTGATGCCTTTGAGTCATGTTCTCGCAACCAAGCTCGGTGCGCGTCTTACTGAGGTTCGTAAGAATGGTACTTGTGCTTGGTTGAGACCTGATGGTAAGACTCAGGTCACTGTTGAGTATTACAATGACAAGGGTGCCATGGTTCCTATTCGTGTCCACACTGTTCTCATCTCTACTCAACACGATGAGACTGTTACCAATGATGAAATTGCTGCTGATCTCAAAGAGCATGTTATCAAGCCTGTGATTCCAGAGAAGTATCTTGATTCAAAGACCATTTTCCACTTGAACCCTTCTGGCCGTTTTGTTATTGGAGGTCCTCATGGTGATGCTGGTCTCACTGGCCGGAAGATCATCATTGACACTTATGGTGGATGGGGTGCACACGGTGGTGGTGCCTTCTCTGGAAAGGACCCAACCAAGGTTGATAGAAGTGGAGCTTACATTGTGAGGCAGGCTGCTAAGAGCATTGTTGCAAGTGGGCTTGCAAGGAGGGCCATTGTGCAAGTCTCCTATGCTATTGGTGTTCCTGAGCCTTTGTCTGTCTTTGTTGACACATATGGAACAGGGAAGATACCTGATAGGGAGATCCTCAAGATTGTGAAGGAAAACTTTGATTTCAGGCCTGGTATGATCTCTATCAACCTTGATCTCTTGAGGGGTGGAAATGGCAGGTTCTTGAAGACTGCTGCTTATGGTCATTTTGGTAGGGATGACCCTGACTTCACATGGGAATTGGTGAAGCCTCTTAAATGGGAAAAGGCCTAAGTCATATCTGTGGTGGGAGTTTTCAGCATTTACCCTATCTACTATTTTTCAAAACTTATAATTTCGTGTCTATTTTTTTTTTTTGTTTATGGATTTTTTCGCCGCAGCAATATAAAAAGTTCTCTCTGTTTGTATGTTCAATGTATGTCACTTTATATCAATGTCAAAAAAGAGTATTCTACCCCATATATTGATGCCTCTGTTGTTTAACTAGTGCAATTCACCCCAAAAAAATGTTTGGCTTTGGACAGCATTGTGTATGAAGATTTGGTATAATTTGTTTGAACCTAACAGGTGCGAAATATCCATATATCCATAATCTCTAATCAAGAACTTTTTGAAATAAACTAATTAAAGAGCATTATTTAGTAAAGTGCATGATTTAGTAAGGAGTCAGTGCTAGCAACTTTTATTTTTGGGTTAAACAAGTCTTAGGTCCCCAGATTTGTCTCAAATATATCTATTGATTTTATTCCAATTTTTAACTAAAGCTTATGTTACATGTGCTCCATTCGTCACAATGGATGGGCACTTGAGTTTTGTACACGTTTTGCTTTTCTTTGCTTTTGCATGAGATAATTTAAAAATAGTAATTAAATTGAACATGCATAAATAAATGAAAAATACAAAAGAAAAATAGGAGAAGAATCTTATCCATTAATAGAAGATTAAGAAAAACAAAAAATAAAGTATACTAATCTTAACTCGTCACAATGGAAGGTCACTTGAGTTTTGTACACGTTTTGCTTTTCTTTTGTGGAAATGAGTGAAAAATACAAAAGAAAATTGGGAGAAGAATCTTGTCCATTTATAGAAGATTACTCCTAACTAAAACAAAAAATTAACTATACTAATCTTATCTCTTACTGTAAAATTATCTTTGCACACATTGGACTTTACTATTTAGATAGAAACTTGAAAATTTAACATGTCACTCCCTAATATTTTATAATGTTAAAATTACTCTTAGGTAAAAAATACATCCAATTTTTGGTAGGTATGTTAAAATTTACAGTACAGTTTAAATTTTACGGTAGTTCATTTGAAATTTTTGATATATTGAAAATTTCAGAATTTTTGATATAGTGCGAAATATTCTAGAAATTTTAAATTTCCGTGTTGATATCAGAAATTTTACCCTTACTAAAATTTTCAATAGTTGTATTTTTAGAGTTTTTTTAGATGATTAAAATTTTGCTGACAGTTTTGTGCGGATGTGATTGCACCGACAATTTGTGTGGTCCAGAACAGATTCAAAGTTGTATAAATATGGGTCATATGCTTTTTATAAAAACATCTCCAAAAATGTCTTTTACTCAATTTTTGATTAAGGCAGAAGTGTACTTCAACAGAGCTTCTCCTCTGTAGCGTTCAAGCTTCCCGATGGCACAACCTCTTTTGTCGGCCTAACGTCGAAGTTGAATGAATTGTTGTCTGATGGCAACAATAAAAATGTGAGAAAGATTGAGTTTCATGAAGATTGAATTGATACAAATGGGAGAGTGAAATACAACCTTATTAAGTTGAAGACCGGCGAAAATGTGAAGGAAATGTAGAGATCATTTCGCCGTAGAATAACAAAAGGGTCGACTGAGTTAGATGCGAAGCTGTCAAAATTTGTCGACGACATAATGGAGATGCTAAAACGTCCTGAAGTGTTTGGTAGTGTTTAAGTTTTTCTTATTTATCAATCATATTGTAATATTAAGTGTTTTATGTTTAAGTTATGAAAACCATTATCGGATGTTAGTTAACGTCCACACTGCAATTTAAGGAAGATCACTAATATTAGCTAATAAAGTGTTATTATAAAGATGTCTGAATAATATACAAATAATAAAAATACTACAAAATACATCTAAATAGGTCTCCCACGGGCTATGTGTAACACCCCACTTCCCAAATTAAGTAAAATATAAATATAATAAATAAACATCAGAGTATTTCACCACACAAGTGGGATATCACATCACAATATCCAACATACTCTTCCGTAGAAGGTTTTCAAACTAAAACAGCGAAAAATGTTCATTAATAAAATACACCATCATCATGATACGTCACAGGAAAATAAAACAAGTTCAACATAAAACAACTAAACGCCCAAGTCCCGTGCTACGTATCAGAGCATCCTAAGACTCGACTCGCCCACCTCTATCCAAGCTAGCTAAGTACCTGGATTATGTGTACTTCCGAAGAAGCACAGACCACAACAACAACAAAGGGGTAAAAAAACATGATTAAAATTATCGGTAATAACATACATGAAATAAAGGTAGTAAGTACACCAATCATATAATTCATCACCCAACATTCATCAAATACGACCTACGGTCCAACATCAACACAACACACCATAATGCAAATATGCAACACAACACCATGCATGTGGTACCGACTCATTGGTTCATTCAATGGAACCCAGATAGATCACATACACCCGTCCTCGGTCATGATCTGTCCCCACCTATTCTCCACTCAAAGGAATACGGATGAATCACCTACACTCCCCTTGAGGAATGATTCGTCCCACCCACCCACCATGATATGCATAACACCGAATGCACAACAAATGAACTCAAGCATACAAGATGCACACAATTCCATGATCATATCACCATACATCATACATACATATTATTCATCAATTAATCATTTTAATTAAAGTCACACAATCCCCCTGATCCCATCACCCTACTCCATACATGTCTCACACACTAATTAATCATCTACTTAAATTAAGTATTAAGGAATTCACCTCCCATCACCAAGTACACACCCTACATTACTCAATCACCCCCTATACTCATCATGGTCAAAGGGATCCTACACGGCTAACGCACAAGGCAAAACAACACAGAAAATCACATTCTGTCACGCTCGCTGGCTCATTCGCTGAGCGAGCCTCTAGCGAATGCTCGCTACCTGTTCGCCTAGCGAACTCTCTAGAGAATGCAAACAGTGGCTACTGGAATTGCTCGCTACCCAACTCGCCATTGCGAATACCTAGATAACGCTCGCTACTAGCTCGCCTAGCGAAGGTGCTAGCGAGTGTCTGCGACTTCTCAAACCCTCACTGTCCAGAACTGTCATCTTGCTCCAATTCAAGCCTAACATTCTACTCCTATCTTCTATCCTATCAATACTACAACCAGTATACATTATTCTCACCAATTATTCTCTAAATTCTACTCTAGAACCAACATTCCAGTACTTCACCGTTACTTCAGAGTTACTCAGAACCTCACCCAACTATAACAACCTAAGCACCGTTACATCAATGGCAGCAACAAATCACCAATACATAAACATATACACCAAATTCATCATAATCAACAATCAATCAAAGATATAACAGCATATCAAGCATGTTCATCAAAATCCATACGGGGTTAAGGAATCCCCTCTACCCGATTTCATGTAAATACCATCCCAATCAGTTTCTCCCCATTACCTCGATTAATGCTCCGATTGATGAAGAACTCCTCAAGAATCGTTAGCCCTAACCCTCTTCTCTTCCTCCTTGTTCTTCCTCTCTGCTCTTCTCTCTGGAACTGACTTATCGTGTTTCTAATATTTTCCTCTTCTCTTACTAACCTCCTAATACCCCTTAAACTCCCTATTTACTTATTTCATCCACTAATATTCCCAATAATAATAATAATAATAATAATAATAATAACAATAATACAAATAATCATACTAATAATAATATTCCACCAATAATAATAATAATAATTATAATAATAATAATAATACCACTAATATTAGTATTAATTATTAAATTATTATATTATTATAACAACTCCACATTTGATTAAATAATCCTTATAAATCAAGGATACCCACCAACATACCCCAACACACCCCCACCTAAGGGCGCACTGAACTACAATAACACCAAAAAGACTAAATAATTAAAATGGGTGTTACAACTCTCCCCCACTTTAATTATTTTCTTCCTCGAAAATTACCTGATGGGAACAATTCCGGATATGCTTCCCGCATCATGCTCTCCAACTCCCAGGTCACACTGCCTCCCACAGCACCTCCCCAAGCTACCTTCACCAAAGATATCTCCTTCCCTCGGAGCTGTTTCATCTTACGATCTTCGATCCTCAACGACATCTGTTGTACCCCAAAAATTTTCCCAACCTCTTCTTTACCTGGTTTATGTTTCTTTACATTGTTCTAGCATTTGCATTGCATACCATATTTCATTATACAGGGGATCAAGTGAGCTGTGCTTAGCAAAGGTAGCTATCAATGGTTTGGGCCTAATCAAGAGGTTATATTTAAGATATCAAGTACTTATCATCATCCAAAGATTGGTAAAGCTCATTGCAGGAGTGGGTGGTTAAGGTTGGTATACCTCCTATCTTAAGGGTCAATGAAGGTCATTTGAAGGATGTGAATCCAGGGTTATGGGTGGAGAACATGTTAAGAGCTCATTGAATACCCTAAGGGTCATTTTGGAGCTTGTGCAAGTCATTATACAAGGTGTAAGAAGCCACAGTCAAGAATTGTGCAATTAGGGTTTCTCAACTGGTCAATCCTAGGTGATTTGAGGATTTGAAGGAGGTTAAAGCTCAATTCCAAAGCATGGTGGTCATGGAATGTTGTGTTGAGGAATTTGAAAGATTATTCCAAGATCAAATCAAGAAGAATCAAAAGTGTGAGGAGTTACTAAATTAGGGTTTTCAGTGTAAAATCCCCTATTTTTAGCCTAACTTTAAGACCAAATATTTCAAAATACAAGTTTCATCTTATCTTGACATGGTCATGAGACTTGTAGGTCTTGTTCTTAGCTTTATTTTGAGTACTAGAACTCCTCAATCTGATTTCTAGAACTCAAGTTATGAGGCAGACAAGTTACAGGTCCTCAGACGAATGTGATTTTTGAAGGTGAGAAAATACTTAGAAGGGTGGGGGGTTGAATAAGTATGTAGAGAAATTTAACACAATAAAAACACAATAATTTTTATCCTGGCTGGTTGAGC